ATAATTTAAACAAATCTTTGAATGGCTAATGAAAATTTAATTTCACAAACCTTGCAAACTTAGTCGAATCCAGCTTTGAGATCTTGTGAAGTGTGCATTTTTATGCAGCATGATCGCCTGTTCGCGTGACGGTCGGTCTGAGTGAATTGAATGCTTTAAACTTTAAACTCATGATTTAAAATTATGCTGTGCTTTATGCATTTGCCCACTGTCATATTCATGTCATTTTCACTGTGTGCTGTATGTAAAATGAGTGATACCTTGGCTTTATTTGAAAAAAATATGATTTGCAATGCACACAAACTTCCCAGAATACTGAGTGCTCTGTTGGTTACGGTTTACTTCCTTTTTAATTATATTTTTATTAAATATTTATTTATTTGTGAAAAATACTTTGTCATCTAAAGTATAAGTATGTTTATTTTACAAATGTATTTTTTAATCCATTTTCAAATGATTAAAAATTTCTTAAATATTAATTAAAATAAATACAATTATATCGGCTTTATATCGGCCATCGGCCACCCTGCTTTTCAAGATATCAGCATCGGCATCGGCTGTCACAAAACCAATAAAACCCATTACAAACGAGGCATTTGTTGCATCCAGTGGGGACATAATTACTGATTATAATATATTTTTAAACATCATATACATTCAATTTTGTCTATATGATTTCCCTGGGAATCCCAGGGCGTTGCTAGCACTTTGCTGTTTGAGCTACATGAACACAATGACCTACTAGGCCTGTCACTGTAATATTAATACATGTAAATGTTTTATTGTAAGCACACTGTGTATTAAACCATTTAGAGATTTTATTTTGCCACTTGAGGTCCAAAAAGCAAAAACAGTTGAAACCACTGCAGTGCAGGACACCATGACATTTTAGACATGCCACATTTAGTAAGAGCATGATTGATCAATCTGAAACATGTCTCCTTTTTTTATCTAACATCTCGATCCGCAGGCATACTTGGATGAGCTGGTTGAGCTTCACAGAAGACTAATGGCACTAAGGGAAAGGCACATATTACAGCAGGTAATAAATGAGAAGCATGTACTGTCAGAAGTCAGCTTTCCTAAATCACTCACTTCTGCACAGACAGTTGCACTAAGGGACCTTTGCACATGAGACGCAATGCTGTATTCCCTGTGGGAACATGAGAAGGGACACTTACAAATTCCCTCTCAATGTCCAAGGAAAGGCTGCAGCAGTAACAATACTACAGCGAGAATCAAAGTTACGCAACCTTTCTTTGCATATACATTTGGGCGGTGTTATGCAAATCTTCCCACACAGTGACGTAGACATGTGGGGGCGTGTTTAAACGAGGCATTTTAGGTCGGCGTGGACAAGTCTTAACTTTGATAAAGAATATCTCTTTGGGTTTGAGACTTTAGTCTTTGCAACTTCAGGGATCTTATCTATGCACGAACAGCATGTAACACTCCAAAGAGAAAGGAAAACTTGAAATCGCATCATATGACTCCTTTAAAACCACAGTTTAGGCTTTCAGTTAGGAGCAAAAATCTGCCTTTAAACTTGAAAGAAATAAAGATTTGAAATTTATTGTAATAATTATCAGTATCGATTGACATGAAAAATGTTATTGTGATCATTTTTTTGGACATATCGCCCAGCCCTACTAACAAAAATTTATCAATATTGAGCACATTTTTGCTGTATTTTTGATCAAATAAATGCAGCCTTCTTTCAAAACCATAAAAAAAATCTTATCAACCCCAAACATTTGAAAGATTATATATATATTGAAACATGTCTCCTTTTTTTATCTAACATCTCGATCCGCAGGCATACTTGGATGAGCTGGTTGAGCTTCACAGAAGACTAATGGCACTAAGGGAAAGGCACATATTACAGCAGGTAATAAATGAGAAGCATGTACTGTCAGAAGTCAGCTTTCCTAAATCACTCACTTCTGCACAGACAGTTGCACTAAGGGACCTTTGCACATGAGACGCAATGCTGTATTCCCTGTGGGAACATGAGAAGGGACACTTACAAATTCCCTCTCAATGTCCAAGGAAACTGAGTGCTTTACCTAAAAGTTTAGAAACCTGTACAGTTTAAAGTTATTACCCACAGCATTAACATGTCAATGAATATCTGGCTGTAATAAATCATACTGGTAACAGTAGGTTTTCTCTTCCTTCAAGTGCTTGCCAAGTAAACTCTTTGCGGCCCATAATTCCTGTTCTTTGAGGCCTATTTGCTTTGACACAATGGAGAGCAATACTTCTCTAGTTCCAAGCATTTGCCGTGCCCTTCTGTTGCAAAGCCTGTTGTGGTGTAAGTCTGGAAGACGTCCCAAATGAGGTCCAAACGGTGCAAACGTACATCTTAATCAAGCTAATCCTGCAGTTTTGTGAAATAATCAGCCTCCTCCGGAATAAGATATGGCATTGATTAACTTCCATGATTAGCCCTTAACACAAATTGGAAAATTTGTTGATGTCATTGGCAAGCTTTATTCGTTGTTATCCGGCCACAAGAAATTGTTCTATGAGGGACATTATTTCTCAAATATAAAATGATGACCTTGATACAGGATGATTGAATGACTGTGTGATGTAACCTACTAGAATGCAGTTATATGCCACTAAAATTCAGGATTTAAGGGCAAACAATGCCCCTGTATGGGTTTTTATATTTATATAATATGATATAGTTTAGCCAATGAAAATGGTTCCAAACAAAGCCAAACTGTTGTGCGTCTCAGAGAAACACACATTGGTGTTTTATTACTGAATGAGTCCACGTTTTTGAAAGAATCGAGTGAGCCAATGATTCAGTGATCCATTCATAAAGACAGTCGCTCAGTCCTTTTGTTTCTGAATGAATCAGCCGTTTGAAGGAATAGGTTAAATGAATGATTGAATGACTCATTAAGACGGCAACTTGTTGCCACCTACTGGCGGTTTTAGTTTCATTTTTAGAGTGTAATTATTATTTTTTTTTTTTAATCCCATTAATCTCATAGCGTTATGTATGCAATTCTAATTGCAATTCCTTTGCCCAAAATTATGTGTAATTAATTAGCTTTTAATTAGATTACATAATCTGCACATCATGTTAATAATTAGGTTAAAATTTTATTAAATTTTTTTATTTATTTTATTTTATTGTAAACTTTATTTAAGATCATTTATGTATAATATCTAAAAATAAAAAATATATATAAACATGAAACCACCGTGTAACTATATAATCCATCAGTCTTTTATATATTTTTATAAATATTTCTTCTTTTTTTAAATATTGTATTATGTTTAATTACATTACTTATAATAGCAACAACTTTTACAATGGTTTGTTGTCTGCTTAAACTTCTTAAATTTTAACCATTAGCAGTACATCCACGGTGGTTTGTCCAGGCTACAGGCGTTCGAACAGCTGACTTCTATCTTCGATGTCTTAACAGGCCTCTGGGTCTCCCTGTGATTCAGGAGAAACGGAAGAAATTCCTTCCATATGCGGCTTTTGCTTTGTAGTGTGAAACGGATCAGGTTTGGGTCCCATTACGGCTCAGTTTAATTCATGTGACCACTCTGCAGCCCTCCTTCTCTTCATAATCACCAATTCAGTCCCTCCTCTGAAGCAGCGAGGGCTGGAACCAATAACAGGCTGCTTTGGTAAAGCATCTTCCTCATTACTATCAGACATGCGATATCGTGCAAACGGAGGCTGCTCACTGTCAATGGAGCTTTGTGAACGAATTGGCCACCTATTATTGAGAAATGCTGCTGCCGAATGACTAATTTTGGTGCTGATACTGCAACATTAAACTCGATTTTTATGTATTCTGAAGAAAATGTGAGGGATGCCCCCCCTGCATAATCAAATTCCCTCTTTTTTTCTTGCAGATTGTGAACCTCATTGAGGAAACGGGACACTTTCACATCACAAACACTACTTTTGACTTTGACCTCTGCTCTCTGGACAAAACCACAGTTCGGAAGCTGCAAAGCTACCTGGAGACTTCTGGATCATCTTGAAGACTTGTGCAGCTGGCTGCCACGAGGAGGAAAATCACACCTCCCTTTTTCCCTCCTTTTGTTTTTTCTCCTAAATTGAAAACTTGTAAGGCAATGGAAAGGATCCGCTTTCATTCCAGAGCTCCTCTCGTCTCTCGAAAGGCCTCAGAAATTGAAATCATTATTACATGAGTCTGGAGATTCTTACGCTCCACCTGGACTTCACCCAAAAAGCCTTGATAATCCGACATTGCCAAAACATGTTCTTGCTCCAAAACAAAATACATTTGTGTATATTGTATGAATGTTTGATAAGTTTTTTGTGACGAATGCATGTTTCAACACTGCCTTACCACATTGACTATTTATTGAGTATGAGTTTCAAGTGTGTGTGTGTGTGTAAGTGCAAATTATATTAAACTTGTGCAAGCACTTGAGAACATCATCTCATCGGCAATGAAACGTCTCTTAACATCCACTGTTTTTATGGATCACAAGCAATGTTTTTCATGCTGTACATGTAAAATGAACGGTTTCAGATTATGCTGGACGGAGGAAGACTTTTAACTCTATTAATCAATGAATTGCACATTGTCAGCAAACTCATTTGAAAGAAGGCAGGATCTTAAGCAAATCCAGTGACCTCTATCTCAAATGTTTCTTAACGTCGTTGCAGTAGGAAAGTGTAATGTTGAATCCTCTAATGTTATTTATTGTTTTTGGGGACCACAGTTCCCATGGCTGTTCATTGGTTGTCCCCAAAACAGTTGGAAAAAGCCAAGTCTTAATTGTAGTTTGGGAGTTCTTTGTTAATCTGAGGAAATCAAGAAGTGATCACAGTTAGCTTTTCAGTTCCATTGTTTTTTTGTTTTTAATTGGATTATTTGATAGGCTAATATCAGCATATTGTGCAGTTGAGTTGTAGCCCTCAAGTTGTGCTTTGTGCAAAAGCAACATCGTTCACTTTTCATTTCCTTATAATGTTGAATCAGATAAGCCAACCATAAATCTAGATATTTTGGGAGACACGGTGATGGTGGTGGTGGGGTTGAGAAGGGTTTGAATTTATCAGAGAATTTTTTTTATTGTTTTTGTTGAATGAAAATCATGCCTTGTACCCTTTATTATTGTTTATTTCCCAGATTAATTTTTTCAGGCCAAAAAGCTTTTAGTTTAGTTATCATTATATAATGTTTATATGTGTACATAAACTTTATATGTGATAAAAAAAAAAAAAAGTGATTATCTTTCCTTTCTTGGAAGGCACTGAACTGCTTCCAGTAGAAAGTTCTTGATCATGATATAAATTCAAAACAGAGTCGTGGATGTGTAGTTACTGACCAGTGAACATTTTATCATTGATGTTAGGAATGGTTTTTGTTTAATGGACGGGAATAGCTGGTGAATATACAATCATCTGAATATCCCTTGTGCTGTGCTGAATATCCTTTACCTAACTTGATGTTCCCGTTATGACCGGCCTTTTAAAAATTGCTTGTAAATCTCTCATAATGCTATATTATCATCAAATCTTGGATTCAATCTTGTATGCACTTTAGTTTTTGAGTGAAAAAAGCATTATTTGTGGATAATTTTAGGATAATATGTTCACTCAAAATCTGAGGTGCGTAAGGTCAGATCAATGAGGCCCATGATCAGTCAGTTCCACAAAGTAACAGAAAACTTGTGGTAATTGAAAGAAAACAAATTGAAAAAAGATTGAATTCAATGTTTGGTAATAATACAGCAAAGATTATACATTTATAAGCAATTTTTGTAGGCCGGTCATTTTAAACCGGGAAAAATCCCCCCAAAAAAGTTCAAAATGTATACATTTTTGGGTGGAAAGTTGTGATAACGTGTGCGCAAAGACAGTAAGTTTAAGTCCAATGTGATATCATTAATGTTGACTAGCAATTTTGTGGGGTAGAAATCCTCTATGGGACAAAATGACTGGAACACAACATGAGCAATAAACTTAAAAATATATTAATCTAAAGTAAAATAAATTGGGCCCTTTCTGGCACTGAAATGAAGAGCAATTTTTGTCAATTCATCCTAGGAAAGTGAAAGAACACGGTGAGTTTCCTCCTACCTTCCTCCTTCCCTCACGCATTCATCGTCACAACATTTCTGAGTTTTTTCCCAGATGTGTTTCCGTCCAGTGACATGAGTTTGAATCAATAGATTATATGCAGTTGCTTCACCATGTTGTCATCTTTGGTGTTTGTTCATGTCTTGGCAGTCTCATCAAAACCTTTTAAGAGTCCTTAGAGTGCATAAAAAAAGCAACCGCATATGGGGAAAAGTTCATGAACATGGTTTATTAATGCGTTAGACAGCCTGGGGTCAAATCCCTGATTCTTTCTCATTCTGATTAATGTGGGTGGTCTAGCTATGAAATGGGAAGGTACTCTAAAACATTGCTATATCCTAAAGTAGTGCCGTGTCAGTTGTAGCCTTTTAATACAAAAAGAGGCGATCAATCTTTATTATATTGGGTTGTGGATTATAGATGTTTGCACAGGAGAAATCCAGGAATTTTGTTGATAAAAGGTGGAGTCCTCAGAAGAAGGTGAAATGTACAGTACAGCAAAACTTCAGCATGGGTTCAACAATAAGATGATAAAATCATGCAAGTAGTTTAGATTTGTACTTGTACAAATATTTTAACTGGCATATTTTTATTTTTAGAAATATCATTTAGAATGTATGAGGGGAAATATTAAAAATGTAAAGGCTCATAAGCACATTCTTTTATTTAAATATACAAATTTGTTTATACAGCTCAATAACTTATAATTCCCCATAATAGTTGGAAATTATACATAACTCCATACCAGATATACGTTCATAAACACACTTTATGAAAAATGAGACCCATTATAACTGATACCTCTAGGACTTTCATGAGCCATTCTTAAAACTTTTAAATAATAATAATAATGATAATCTATGCCATTCAGATAACTATACTATGATGACTTTAGTAAATCTGCAGAATCCACAATTCCCACATGCTTTGGCTGCACATTAAAAAGCCTCTAAAGTATACATTCCTTGTTTAATGCCATGAAAACGGACAAATTTGGCATTTTAAGCTGTTATTTGAGGAGTTCAGGGCTCAAGAGTCTGACTGATTCGGGAAGAAGCGGTTGGAGCTCCAGTAATAGCGAATGCTTTAAATGACTGTACTGCTAAACCCAGACTCGGGCTCTACAAAGCCTCTGTTGTTCAGTGATTCACAGAGGCTGAGGGATGGGAAGTGTGAGCACATCTCTAACAGGCTTACGGTTAAGCCACTTCACTTAACACCAGTCCACAGCATTCATGGGAGAGCAGCTGGCTCTGGATCCAGCATCCTGAGCTGAAGGCCAGTCCTACTACAGCTGTTCCAAAAGCTTACGGGGTTGAGATGTGAGCAAGCGTCAAACATTTAACTTCTTGTTTTACTGATAATTAACGAATGAGATATTTGGGATAATTAATGAATGAGATGTTCGGAGGTTTTTAGAGTATGAGTCATCTCCATTATGTAGTCAGTTTGTGTTGTGAGCAATGCGTGTTCGAAGTCCATCTCTAAAGGGACTGATGTGGAAAGTATGCATGCAGCTCTTATCAGACGAACATGATTCTCACCAGTAATGGAGAATAATTCACCAAGGAATATGTAAGGCACAGTTTGGTACAAAAAGTGCTGATTTTAAAAGCTCAATAGCTCAATAAAAGAATTCAGAGATGATTCGCTCATCAAGTTACTTATATTGATATCTATATTTAAATATAAATGTTATTAAAATGAGATCATTAGTATTATTAGAAATGCGCTATATACAGTATTATTGTTATTATTAAATGTGATTTATGTGAATTATTAGAAAGAAAGAAACAAAGATGGATGGATGGACAGACGAATAGATAGATAGATAGATAGATAGATAGACAAAATGATAGATAGATAGATAGACAAAATGAACGATAGATAGATAGATAGATAATTTCTGAATCTGAGAAAAGTATAAATTAGAAGAGAATTCAATCCAATAGCCTGATGTTGCATGACTAATTGTATTTTTTTGTTGGATCTACAAATGCAGAGTGAGAAAGTGGCCATGAGAACTACAGAAGAACTATAGACGAGTGTGAGAGAGAGATGAGGTGGGGGTTCTTTATAATCCACATCATGCTGTCCCTCCCACCCAACACCTGTTCATTACTTCATAAATCTGAGCCATGAGCCAATTAAAAAAACCACAGCAAGTTAGATACCAGAGATTTGATGGGTTTGGGCACAAAAAGTACAAAAAAATATATATATATATCCCAAGCGACGTTTTGAGACAGACGACTTTTCTTTTGGCACCATCTGTTAACACACAGCAAAGTTATTCACTCTTTGAAAGCCTTATTAGGTCAAAATGGTCTTCCTGTTGAATAAAATTAGTACATTAATAAGTGTTTACCTTTTTCATTTTTCATAATTTACAGAGATGGCTGTTATATATTAATCTGAGATCGTTTTATCTGATATGAAAAGCTTTTTTTCAACTGTGGCTCTTTCAAGTCCACCTCCTCAAATGCTGGACATAAACACTGCTCACGTTCATGGAGATAGTCTCGCACGGCGGGTAGTCTGTCTGTGTTTGAGACACACCAGAAGGAAATCATTGTGTCCCCTTCTTTCCCTGAAGCCTTCTAAATGACGAAGAACAAGAGGGAAGAAAAAAAAACTGCTCTACTTTCAAGATCCTGGATTAACTTAAGCCGTTTCACAGTGTTGGGTGGGGGTTCACAGTCAGGACGAGCAGCGGGACATCCTGTTTGAGCTTCCAAATACCATTTCCTCCTATAAAAAAGAGGAGAGACCTTAGAAATCAGCTCCCACAGAAGAAATAGCAGTACATTTGTCATCTTCCTGGCACAAGTCCGATGACCAGAGAAAAGATGCAGCAGAGCATTTGAAGGGCAGTTAAAATGGCATCAACTACGTCATTAAAAAGAAAGGAAGGTGAAAAGTCCTGAAATTCAGTAATAATTATTTTTAATTATTAAAACATTCAAATTAATATCAATAATGCAGAGAAATATGTAAAAGATAGAAATTCAGGGCATAAATATTCTAAATTATTTATTATTTATATCCTATAATTTCTTTTGTTGTGATTCAAATTCCAATGAATGAATTAAAAGTGAAACAATTGTTAAATTCTAAATTAAAATTATTAAATTAAGCATAAAGATTTACTCGTTTATCTCTCTGCTTTGGAGAAACTCCCTGTGAAAATTTTAACTGAAGCCACATTCAAGCTTCACAATTACATTGGAACAAAACCAGAGCAAATATTTGTCCATCTGTGTAATCTGGCGGCTCGCTCTGCATGGTCGTCATGTTTGGGAGTAAGTGGTTTAGGCGGGAAATTAATCGAGAGAGAAAACCAAAAAAAGCCCCATCCCCATCTTCCTATTCTCTGAGTGATTTCATCCAGCAAGCCTTTAATCCTCCATTGTGTGCAAATGTGCACACAGTGACAATAATTCAAAGGTCTTTTATCATATGTTCTAGCTCAGTCATACCTGGGCCTCTTTTTCAGACGTCTGTTTGGTTTGACCTCCTTGTGAAGAATTCTGGGTGGCAGCTATGTCACTGGAAAGGCATACAAAATTAGCTTTTTCAAAAAAATCAGATCGAGTTATGTAAAGAACAAAAGTAAGCAGACTTCAAAGTGATGGAGAAAAAGGGAGGGATGTGAATAGGGGGATGTATCTTCGTTCAGGCTCCTCATGAGAGGAACCGAATATGGGCACGTCGAGCGTTCCCACATGACCGGGTTTCCAGACGGCTGAGGATCTGATTATTATTCGATTATTTATTTCTTTACGTATTTCAGCCCCTGGTAAGCCCCCAGTGTGGGCCGGGACCCTTGGACTTGAGCCCAGTCCCAACCTGCTCTTTCATTGGATCGAGGGATGCTTTGTTCTCCTTGATGGAAGTTGGGCGGGCCAGTGACCCGTGACCCCCAGCCGGCCCACCCGGCTGTGAGAGTGCGCAGACACTCTCCCTCGCACACTCACAAAGCTGCACTTGCTAAATCCTCCTCAAAGGAGGGGATGGGGGGCCCTGAGAGAATGACCAAAAACAGCACTTATACATAGACACAATCTGGTTAAGACTGGAAGTAGCTCCACTCAAATGCAGAAAAGTGATATTTGCTTAGTTTGCTTCTTGCCAATATTTAGGAAGAAGAAAAAAATCAAGGTTCCTTCTTCATTCCAATGATCCAGAAGGAACAATCTCTTCTTCTATTTGGATCCCATTCAAAGCTTTTCCCAGCAAGCTGACAAATTGCAGATTTCAAGCTTGCTCGCTCTCTCTTCATATCACCTCCTGCACAGAACAACAGATTTGATAGGAAAAAGCCAACCACTGCCAGTTACTCTACTGGGCGGACTCGCTTCCTAATGAATTGAGGACATCTGTGCTTCTAGTCAGCGATGCATCAG